ACAAAAAAAAAAAAAAAAATAATAATAATAAATAAATAATAATTTTCAACGACCAAAAATAAAAAATAAAATGATTACAAAAGAGGAAATTAATTATTTATTGGGATTGATACCCTCATAGGTTGAAATTGAGGCATTTGAGTCAAGATAAGAGTCAATGTTTATCATAAAAGAAGATAGGGTTTTCTCAATTGGTCAATCCAAAACATTTGACCAAATGGGAATAAGAATCAACCAATTTTCTTTTTATCCAAATAAAATAAATGGTCTTGAAATAATGAATTCATTGATTCAAGGAAATGACAGTTGTCTATGTTGGATGATGAAAATCCCACGTCATCTAATTTAAAAAATGAATGGATTTATAAGTGAGGAATACTAATTGGAGAAGCCTGAAGTAAAGCTATGAGAGCTTATGCTCAAAGTGGACAATATCATACCATTGTGGAGAGTCGTGTTCGTCTAACAGTCTTTTGTGGCTAAGAAAAAAATAAATTAAAGTCAACGTAAGGATAGTAAAGTAATTCAACCCTAAAATATGAGGCGGGAGAAAGTAGAATGAGGACATCTCCCCTACAAACATCACATATTTCTAACATCTAAAATTTTGGTTACTATATGTTTTCATAAGCCATGGAGATTTGGATGTCATCAAAGCCAAAATAAAAGGTCAAGAGGTTGCACAAACAACTATGGATATACGTAGAATTTTAGTAGTGGTCATAGGAAGATGGTTGTTGTCCCTTGCTCAAGTAGTCGTAAGGGCTTGTCCTCTCTCTATATCTTCTTCCCTCATATAATAGTTACGACCTCTGCTTTCTTTATAAGGGCGTGGAAACTTCTTCTTGACAGACACGTTTTAAAAATCGTGAAGAGAAGCTTGAAAGGAAAAGCCCAAAGTTTGCTAGCGGTGAGCTTGAGCTGTTACAAATGATATTAGAGCTAGACCCTGGACAGCGTGCCAGCGGGGACACTAGCTCTCAAGGAGGTGGATTGTGAGATCCTATATGGGTTGGAGAGAAGAACGAAACATTCCTTATAAGAGTGTGGAAACTTCTTCCTCGTAAAGGGGTTTTAAAAACCTTGAAGGAAAACTCGAAAAGAAAAGTCCAAGGAAGACAATATGTACTATCGATAGACTTGGGTTATTACATTATCATTGCCACCACTATGAAGACCAATATCCCTATTGTAGCTACTGTCTTTGATATAGTCACTAACGGTCACTAACAGTTATTACATTATCATTGCCACTGTCTTATTAGAACAAATAAGAGATGTAACGGTCACTAACGGTTATTACATTATCATTGCCACTGTCTTATTAGAACAAATAAGAGATGTAAAAAACTACTCGTTGTAGTCTCGATTTCCATACTTACGATCTCTACAATCAAAATGATCTCTATCACCATATCACCCTTCATCACAACGGTCATCCATATACCGATCGTGATCTCCTCCAAAACGATCCTCCACGGCCATCACCATCAAATCGAGAACATGACGAAAATGAACCTCTACCCCTCCCAAGTCCACCACTAACTGAAGAACAGTCTCGTGCCCATTGCCCTGGACTTCCAAATTGAAGCATTCATCTTGCCCTACAGATCTATCTCCTCCTCTCCCAAAACTAGCTCTACCACCAGATGAATAGCCTCCTCTGAGGCATGGCTCTGCATCATCTCCCTCCATCTTAGGTTCAGCCTTATTTACTGAGATAATCCGCTCACTAAACTCATGCCCATGCATCTCTCTGATTGCATCAAGTTAAATATCTCTTCAATGCTCTTGAATCTGAAAGGAGCAGACATCAGGTATGAACTACTTCGCAAAATCATTTAACAAGGAGGCCCCGTATATATCAACAAAAAACTGAGTATTAAGGGCTCTAGAAGCATCTGCTCAACCCAACTTATAACCCAAATTTAGTCTCTGGATTGTCAGGGAATTGAGGTGTATTATTGTGACAACGTTGGGGAAACACTCGGACACTTTATTAAGATTATTAAGGATATTTAGTAATAAATTATAGTTTACCATATATATTATATTTGATATTTTATTATAAGGCAAATATTTCATAGGTATCTTTCCATTTATTGTTATTTCCATTTATTACTATTTCCATATTCTTGTAATTCATTTGATTATAAATAAGATAACTTTCACACCATTTAGGTGTGGTGGATTAATCAAACATTCACATGGTATCAGAGCCCTTTCGGTTTAACAACCCTGATCCTTTCTTTTCAATGGCTTTTGAATCCTCTAATCTTCTTCTCCACCACCCCTGCTGGTTTTGACACCGCAGGGGCAGTCTTCATGGCTGCCGTAGTCGGAGCCGATTGATTACTCTTCGGCTCCACCCTATTGACCTCCAAATCACTTTTCGTCATACTCTGTACATACAACCTCACCTTTTCCAACCAAATTGGTTTTTCCCTTGGCCAATATAGTCTCTCTCATTTTCTTCCCAATCAACCTTCATCCTTCACATAAACCCTAACCTAAACCTATCAACCTTTTGCAGAGATTTACCTTCGGAATCTGGGTGCCGCACTGGCCTATTCGCCAACCAAGTTGCCGCCACCCTTCCTGCCAAAATTGGCTTCTTCGCCCGATGAGGCGACTCTTCCGACTGTCCTTCTCGCCAAAATTGGCTCCTTCGCCCAATGTGGCGACTCTTCCGGCTTCAACATTGTCTTTGTCCCTTGCTCTAGGTTTCCCCTTCTACTTCTTGGGGTTAGAAATATTCTCACCAGAGCCAAGGCAGCATCGTCGCTAAGCGACAATCCCTCTTCATGGGTTAGACATATTCTCGCCGAAGCCAAGGCAGCATTGCCGCTGAGCGGCGATTCCTCTGCAATTTTCGATGGCCAAGAAAGTGTTTCTCTACGCCTCCTCTGAACCAGGTTGTTGACTTCTTCAAGAAAAGTGTTTCTCAACCTCTTTGAATTTTTCAGATTCAAGCTTCACGTTCGTTTAAATCCGACGCTTAGCTTGCGGTGGGGTATTAAGGATATTTAGTAATAAATTATAGTTTACCATATATATTATATTTGATATTTTATTATAAGGCAAATATTTCATAGGTATCTTTCCATTTATTGTTATTTCCATTTATTACTATTTCCATATTCTTGTAATTCATTTGATTATAAATAAGATAACTTTCACACCATTTAGGTGTGGTGGATTAATCAAACATTCACAAAGATCAATCGAAAAATTTTCCTAAATTTATTCCCATATAGTCACTCATACTGTGACTATTGGGCATGATATTTTAACATTATTGTGACAATGCTTTTCTTACGAAAGACTACCAGTTTCCCACCAATTTCTTCCAATGTATGTATACTATTTGATAGCATTTCTTGTCTACTTACACCATTTCTTCCAAGAACAGTAACAGAGCCCGAATCAAACTATTTTCTATAATCTAGCAAGTAAAACTAATCTTAAGAATTCGGATCCATATAACTTAAATAAATCAATACATCCTGATGGTTTCCACGTGCACAAATTTTAATCAATAAACAAATAAGAAACACAAGACGAAAGTTCACCTGAGCTTCAAGAATTTTGCCGAACCGGCTGAAAGCATTCTCAAGCTGATCTCCGAGATATTCAATGAGAGTCCTCCAACAAACATTCGCAGCCATTACCTCCTCCGGCTATCAATCAGATGCGATTCCTACAGAAAACAACAAACATAACTGGAAACTGAATACGATCTACTCAGAAAATACAGAAATCGAGCCTCTCCGCCTGATTCGACATGGTCCATTTCAAATCAAAATTTCAGAGTTGCAAAGACAGAAGAATTAACACTCACCTCTGTGCCTGTAGTAGCAAGTCCATGAGCGCCACGGGGTGCAGGGTTCAAGGCTCCAGAGCTTAAACCCTCTATGGTCCGTGGTCGAGTTATTCCGAGGTCCGTACTAAATTATAAATTTTTGGGCTTGGGCTTAATATTGGGCCTGTAACTGGGTCTGGTCTTGGGCTTGGGCTTGACTCTTTTCTGGTAGTGGACATGGTCTTTTTTGGGCCTCTTGGTATTATTTTAAAGACTTGGATTTTATGCAATTTATTTATTCGAAATAAATCAATTTTAATCCCTAAATTTGTATTAATTTGGAATTAAAATTTTTAATTTAATAAAAATAAACCTTAAAAATTAAAAATATTGTATTTAGAATGTAAATAAAAAGGTTTCCTCATTATTATTATTATTTATTTTTCTATTTTTTTTCAATTTTAATCCCTAAATTTGTATTAATTTAGAATTTAAAATTTTAATTTAATAAAAATAGACCTTAAAAATTAAAAATATTGCATGTAAATAAAAAAGGCTTCCATTATTATTATTATTATTATTTATTTTTCTAATTTTTTTTTCAATTTTAATCCCTAAATTTGAATTAATCTTTTTTTTCAATTTTAATCCCTAAATTTGTATTAATCTGGAATTTAAAAATTTAATTTAATAAAAATAGACCTTGAAAATTAAAAATATTGTGAATGTAAATAAAAAAGGCTTCCTCATTATTATTATTATTATTATTATTATTATTATTATTATTATTATTATTATTATTATTTATTTTTCTAATTTTTTCTAATTTTAATCCTTTATTAATTTAATTTAAAATTTTAATTTAATAAAAATAGACCTTAAAAAATAAAAATAATTTGAAATTAAAAATTTTAATTTAATAAAAATAGACCTTTAAAAGTAAAAATATTTCAGTATATAAATAAGACTTCCTAATTAATATTATTATTATTTATTTTTCCAATTTTTTCCGTCTTAATTTTGATGCGTTTTTAATGGCAGAATACAAGCAAAATCCGCCTGTAGAAACAACGATGTGGAATGACAAAAAGACCCCTTCTTCAGAAGTTCAGTAAAGGGGTTTTCCGTCAATTCACGTCATTAGAAAAAATAGTTAACCCATTATCCATTCCTAGTCACATCCACGTCAGCAGCCGACGCGAGTCGTCAAATCGGAGAAGAAAACGCCATGCATTTTGACGAAAACGATCGCGATTTTTTCTTTTCTCCTCATTTCCATTTTCTTTCTCTGTGAGCTTCGTTATCTGCTTTTCGCTTGAACACTGACACCGAGATTTGGATTTTTTTGTTAATTGCATTGTATCTGTTCTTCTTTGTCGATTGGAATAATGCATTTGTGATGTTTCCACTTCGAGGTATGAATTTGAATGCGCTTTTTTCTGGTGAATCTGTTTCTTCTTTCTGTTGTTTTGATTTCGATTCCGATTCTGTGTGTTTTTGTTCCTTGGAAATGGGCGCTTGGATGTTTATTGGACCAAATGTATTTGATATTGTGTAGAATCTGTTGCGCTGGTGGCTCTTTTTACGGGATTATGATTTGTTCCCGACGTTTTTTTTAATCATTTCGAGATTAAATTCGCTTTTCCATTATGTTCGAATTCGATGGTTAGGTTTGGTTAGGTCATGTTAGGTGTGAGAGCAAAAAAATTCTAGGTCGTATAGTTGTAGTGTTTTCGGTTGAGTTGGGAACTCTCGTCTCTCATTTTTTCATTTTATTTTATCTTGATCCTCTAAACTGATGGAGAATGTTAAATTTCTTCGAAGAACCATCTAGCATTTGATTTCTTTACGGGAGAAATGGTATTAAATTTTTGTTAATTTACTTGATTGGCTTATCAGACGACACTCCGGGTCCTCAAAACGGACCTATTGATCTGATTGGACCATGACGATAATTGGAGGTAGTGTTTGACTTTGTACGAGTACAATTATGGAGCCTCATTTGTTTTTTCTTGACAAATAGACAGTATTGATTCAGTTCTATGCATTTTTATGTCATCGAGGTGGATAGAGAAACACGGTCTTGTCTGCTTTATGGAACAAGAAACAGGGTTAGTTCTTCCGGTCCACCGAATCTGTATTGGTTTAGTTCATACTTCAGAGTACGGAAAGAAGAAAAGTTTGAGGATCCTGAAACATTCACGGTTCTTGATTTGAAAATTTTTCTTAGTGGCCAATGGAAATGTTACTTAAGAAATCTTTTTATAAACTTATTTACACTACGATCTCCTATTGAAAAGTAGTTCCTGATATAAATTCAATTGAGGATCAGTTAGTCGGAGTCGAAGTAGATTATTTCGAAATAGTTCTCATCTATCATATTATGTATGTGCATATGTTGCCATAAAATTTTCTCAATACAGTTGAACATCAACCAGTTTCTTCGCTAGTTTTATTCTGTCAAGCAGGTTAAATATGAAGTTCGGCTGATTTTGTTGCCACGCAAGTTTAGATAGCTTAACAAGATTGTGGGTTTCAGTTTGAAACTAGACTGATTGTTTTAATGGGCATATATAAAACTTATAGTGAGAATATTGTTCAATTTTTGTGAACGTTGACTTTTTTTGTCAGTTGGTATGTTTTTCAGCTTGTCTTCTTGTTTCTGTTTCTAGAGGATAATATATATATATATATGGTAACTAACTGTTCTGAGGAAGCCTTTTATGTCAGAACTTGCTAGGTATCTCTTGTGAGCATCTAAAAGAGAGTTCGTGCTTTATTATTGCAGGAAGGAATGAGTCTATTAGTTCAGAGAAGCTGGAGATGAGTAAAGAAAGTTCCCATACAAAAGAGAAAACGACTATTGGTCGTTCTTCATCTAGTGAAGTGAAGAAGCCTGCAGAAAAAGAGCTAAGCTCCTCCACGTTTGTTAACCAGGGTAAGGCACCTATTTTCAGTTTCTTGGAATTGTATTTTTTAAATTTTTTTATTAATGATTTATTATGCCTGTTGTAAACGGATGACCCCATGGAGCTTGGAAGTTTTAGAATAAATGCTTAGAAAAAAAAGAAAGTAGCACAGCTTGTTGTTTGATTCTGTTGATGTTAGTTGTTTTTTAGGTTCCCTATAGCAATTTATGTATTCCATTCAAAATAGAGACTCCAATTAGACTCTCTTACTTAGGAGTGACTGACAATAGGAAACAATAAATCCCAGCTAGTATCTTAGAAGATGATGGCATTGGTTGACGAAGTGGTCATGGAATCATTTAATTGATCTGAGTTTTCTGAATGTGGTAAATGCATGTGTGAGTGTTAAAGGTGGAAGTCAGGAAAAACTGAAGGAAAATGGACTAATCTGGGCAGAGGAGATGTTTTCTGAGGGAAGATGGTCTTCTTCCTGACCTATAGATTTTTGTTTCATTGATTGAATATCAGATGATGCAAATCATGAAAAGGGATCTACCATGAATTAAAAAGGAATTATTTGTTTCTTCAATCCTAGATTTCTTAAAATAGTGACACATTACGTTTGGTTTGAAATGTATGTTCATTACGTTCTGTTTGGTTGTGTTGTGTAGCTGCAATTCGTTGGCATGAGAGTAGAAAGAAGTGGGTCGATACTAAACAATCTCAACAACAACAAAGAATGGAAAGGGATTCGATCATAAGGTGGTCTCTCGCTCTTCTGAATTTTCTCAGTTGCAAAGAATTTAATCATTCCATCGTGCTTTTGCTTGCAAGTAGTTAGTTGGTGAACTCGAAAATAAATTTATAATCATAAATGGAGACTTCTGCACACACATCGAAAGTTGAACAAGAAATCCTACTGTTGTTATGAAGCTGCACAAAACACTGTAATACTACTAAAACGAACCCCAAAAGATAACAACAAATTGTCCAAAACAGGAGTGGGCAAACAATTAGACCTCCCAGTTTTTTAGGATCGAAATATGCCTGAAGATATTATTAACCTAAGCCTATAGAATTTAAGGTAACTTTTTTACAATGTCAAGGCACCATTACTCTGGGGTCAACCAAATGAATTTAGACAAAGATGGAAATAAAAAGTTCTGTAGTTCTGGAATCAACTCTTTGGCAGGGGATAACTTGTCCATAGCCATAGACCATAACTAAGAAATCAAGATTATTTGTAATAGCTCCATTCATATGCGCAGCTGCTGGCCCACGTTATTATAAATGATTCAACAGGCTTAAAATTAAAGAGAAGTAAAGTGCAAGCAGTAATAGGTCATTTTATATCTTGAAATAACGTGCATTTTCCATTTTTTAATGAACAAGTATTTGATTTTCTAGTGTTGCTTTCCTTGACCCCCGTCCCAATAAAGAATAAAGAAACATTTACTATGAATAAAATCTAAATGATAATTTTTCACTCTGAATTTGCAGCTGGTCAACAGCATATGAAGATTTGCTCTCCACTTACGAGCCCTTCAGTGAGCCAATACCTCTCCCTGTAAGCTTCTGAAAAGGGCATGCAGTTACGATACACACACACACACACGTATATACATGCATGTATGTATGCATGTATGCATATATATAGTCCATCTGCCTGCTCAATCAATTGCACATTAAAACCAGATTTCTGTTGATGTTGCATGTGTTCTTGGTTCTTCTGATAAGGAACGTTATTGGGGTATTAATGATATCTTAATAAACATCTAAGGAGTTTGTTAGGAGAGTTTAGTTTTAATTGAGGTGGACATTGATTAAGTTGGTTTAGGCTTGAGTGGCATCTCAAGAAAGGGGAGGTTCTCTTGTTTATCTTTTACATCGCAATATGTTTCGGGTTCTATCAGCTGCCAATAACGTTTGTTGATGCTTGTGATGTGACTGGCAGGAGATGGTAGATTTCTTGGTTGATATATGGCATGATGAAGGGCTTTTTGACTAGATAACACAAAAAATATTTAAGCAGTAGACAAGTTTCGAGACCGAGGTACCGAGTTTCGGGATACTACCAGTTCTTCCATCTAATTCTATGAAGATTATGATCTTACATCGTTGTGATCTTTGTTCAAACTAGCAGCTAATTCAACATTTGTTTTATTGGCCTCTGTTTATGGGGGTAACATCTGATATTTTTGCACAAGTTCAGAGTCGTGGACACTTATTTGGAGAATTATTTTTTATGTTTGCAGAGTTGCTATTAATGACTCTGATAAAAGTTAATGGTATTGTCGAAGCATCTAATATTACCAAATATATGATTTAATTAGTTAGTTAATAGGTGATTTTGATTTAAGTTTGAAGTAAAATTATGTGTTTATTTATTCTTCTTTTTTAATTTTTTGTTTCAAAACATGAAATAAAATTTATTTTTTAATTAGATAGATTAATTAAATTCTACAACATATTTGCAATTTTTTTTTAACACATCGCAAGTGTTTCTTGTTTTTAATGGTGGTCTGTGCTACATTTGAATTTAAGTTTGATTGAATGGTTTTATTTCTATGAAATTTTAAATTTTTGAAAAATATGTATTTATACCTCTCTCTTAATGGTGATGGTGATCTATTTAAGGTTAAGGAATCTTTCGGGTATTTATACCTATCTCCCTTACCCGATACGGGTATGAGAGAGACAGAGCTTCCATTTCCAAGTACAATCCTCCCGCTCAAAAGCGTTCTGTTTTTCTAGGAATCTTTCCTCGGAGTGCTACTTTTAGACCTTTGTATATTTAATTCTCAAATCTCATCATATAAATAGAAATTTAAACAAGCCCAAGCGCAATTAGATAGTTAAATTAATCAAATTTTACGGTTTAATTCATGAATCTTCAAAAAGTGTAATAAAACCATAAAGCTCCTATAAATTTTAAAATTTTAAAATTTATTTATTTATAAGGTAATAAATTGGAGTTTATTTCATGATTAATAAATTCATAATTTTTTTAAAATTAAAAAATCGAGAGAATGGTCCAAGAAAAGCAGTATAATCAAGCGATAATTAAATACCAAAAGATGCTATGTTCTCTCCATTCCAAACTTCAATAGCCATTCTAACAAAATAGAAGCCTGGCTCTTACAGCCTTGCTGCTGCTTACCTCGACCTTCCTCAAGAAAGACAGCTTTTATCCATAGCCAGAACCTGTTTTAAGGGCATATTAAATGAAGATGGCAGTAAGGCACCACAGCTCATTTCCCCTCTCTTCCTCGGAGGTAGTATTCCTCCATTTCTCAACTTTGTTTTCGGTCTTCTCGACCATTAACCGTCCTAGACAATTGATTACTGAGGGCAGCGAACGAAGATCCCAGTGATGTGGTCGACTTCCTCCACCAGATACTTTTACTAGCCGACATAATCTCGTTAAGCTTAATATGAAGTGAAATCTTCTGAGCAATCAATCTGCAGGTTGTAGGAAAAAATGGCTTAATGTCATTGCCACTTCAAAAAAGGACTCCACTTCTACAAATTGGGAGTGGGTGAGTTTAAATTCTAAGAGATACAATAGTAAAAGCTTACATAACATCACTGTTTTTTCAAGAAGCCTACTTCAACTTCAGCTATAAAATGAACGGTTAGAAGAGAGAGGACTTTAAACTAATTTCCCTTGGTCTTTTATCAATATGGTTTTGGTCAATGTTCACTTTGTTGAACGAGAAAACAATTGTCAATCCATTATTTTCAATTCTTAATTAAAACCCTTCTTTTCCAAGAGAGCATCTAAGAAGTCCCAATATACAGGATCATATATTGATATGTCATCCCAATCAGATTAAAAAACCTTTCTTTCCCTTTTTCACCGACGACTTTACTCCGAACAAACCTCCTCCTGTGGGTAAGGACAACAAAGCACACGGGCGGAGGTCTACAATCAGATTTAATCCTATCTTCTCTGCTATAAGTGTGATTTAGATCTAGTAGGTGCAAAATCTAAGAATGCCTTCTGAATGCTATCCTTTAGACATCCTGAGCTATGCTCTCCACATAGAGTTTTGCATTAAAGCCTCGGGGTTTGCCATCAGGACTTTCCCACTGGAAGTGCTTCCTCAAATTTGGTCAAGTCAATGGCTTAGATGAAAAGTAAAGGCGGGGAATATCCAGAAAAGCCAAGGGATTTCACAAAAAAATTAGTTCAATTGATATTGAGAGGGAAATAATTACATAAGCCTTTTGAGTGGATACACATATACCAATTTGAAATGAAGGAACAAAACTAGATGGGTAAAAAAAGAGAAAAAAGGAAAATTCTCCACTTTTATCATCAAAGCCTTTGGAATGGATACACATACAGAAAAATTTCCACAGCAAATGAATAATAGACGAAGAGGTGACCTGATTCTCCCTATGAGTTTGTTAGGATTCAGTTGTTGTTGTTCTTCTGGCTTAAACTGTTAATAGCAGTATCTCTGTCCTTTTGAGTTCAACATAAAATTTGGAGTTGGGGATCTATTGGGTGAGGGGATGTGTCTTAACCAATTGAGCTATGTTCAAGTTGGCTAGCTCTTATCCTTGAAATTCCTGACATTATCATGAAGCAGAAATTAAGCTACCTACCTATAACTCATTCTTAGTTAATGCACCTGGCAGCCTAAATTTAAACTTTGAAAGCTTAATTTCAACTAACAATGTCTCCCAACCATCATGCACCAAAATCAAACAGAAAATAGAGGCTCAAATTATGATGTATGACAGAAAAAGTAAAAACCACGTACCTTCGCAAACTCTCTCCAAAGAGACAAGCTGAAAGTTACTCATCTTCACCACTCTCGTCACTGAAATAACTCGCTTTCTTCGCTTTTTTCTTCTCTACAACGTTCTCACTACTAGTCAGCAGTCTTTGGTCTGCATCTCCGTCCACCACTGAGGCCCATTTGTCATCCTCAAAACCTTCCCCATCATCCGATCCCCAATCCTCCTCGTGCCTAGCACCGACTCCGCCCTTTCTCACCCGCTTCGGTTCAGGTCGCTCCCTTGGCCCCAATTGATTTTTAGGACACTCATAAGACAAATGTCCATCAACTGCGCCGCACTCGTAGCACCTACTCTTGTCCTTATAAACCCTCTTCCTTATAAACTCAGCGGCACGACCATTATCATTCGCTATAGCAACCTTCAGAGCACGGCCATTCAAAATCTTCCCATGCATCTGTTTCACGGTCTTGACCGCGTCGTCCTGGGAAATAAACTGGACGAACGCAGCGCCGCGAGACTTGCGAGTCTGGCGATCTTTCAACACCGTAACACGAGCGATCTTACCGAAGGTGGAGAAGAGAGTATGGAGATCGGAATTAGTGAGTGAATAGTCGAAATTGGAAACGTAGACAGTAGACTTCGAAGGAACCAAACCACCAGAACCTCCGCCGGACTTGGTGGAAGAGTGTGAGTGCGATTGCGATGAGAAGTGCGACTGTGAAGACGACGGCGGCGGTGGGGCAGAAGAGGTGGCGGAGGGATATCGATAATAGAAGGTTTCGTCGTCGTCGCTGTCGCTATTAGGGTTTTTGGCTCTCTTCCCCTTGCGCGACATTTTTTCACCGTCCGTCACCAGCAACGACCAATTTGGTGGTTATTTAAAGTAACCGCACTTTTTTAGGTTAAAATACAATTTTGACCTTTTAATTTAATTTATGCCCCCTCAATTTTTTAAATTTCTATATCTACTTAATAAAATATAAAATGTTCAAAATATATAAAATTCAAATTCATATTCAAATTTAAGAGCTATTTATCTTCAATTTTTTTTAATTTATCAGAAAACTATTAATATTAATATTTAAAATTTAAGGTCTCTTAATTAACATTTTTGAAAGTTCAATAATTAAATAAAGAGAAATTTAAAATTATAATTTAACTTTTTAAAGATTTTTTTTCTTGTCTAGTACGAGTATAATTAAAATATTGCTGATGTTTTTTAATAAAAAAAATATATTTTTTATTCAATTTGGCCTTATATATTATGGAAAAATTCATAAAATTATTAAATTTTTTAAGCAAAAAATAAAAAAATAAAAAAATAAAAAAATAAAAAAACAAAAAAAAACAAAAAAAAACAGCCTCTAATAAACTAATTTTCTGAAATTTCCATGCCAAGGGTATTTTCGTAAATGTCACTTTATTACAATAAGAGAATCTTCGAGCAGAAGAAGAAAGCCCCCCACAAGAGCGAGAGAAATAGGTTAGCTGCTTCTCCAAGCCCCACCGGATTCAATGGCAGAGCTCTGCTGACGGAAATAAATTCGAATTTGGCTCTACATGCCGTCGTGGGCTAACTTTTATGTAAATCCTGAAGAAGAACACAAATTTCAGCGCCTTTATCTGCCTCTAACGACCTTCGCCTGAGCGCCTTGGATTTCTAGGGTTTCCTGTAAGTGATCCTTTTCTTTTCCTTTGCGAATTTATCCATTTTCATCATGCTTGTTTTCTTATATGTCCTGGTACTGGATGACGTATGGAGATTCTATTTTAGATTTTTTAAATACGATAGTTTAGCTGGGTGATGGCAAAGAGAGACTATTGAGGGCTGATGAACTTGTCAATTCCCCTCATGAAAAGAATAATTCCAATCTTCTAGGGTTGTAATTATAGGTTTATCTCTAAATTATGATCTCAGGTTAGTTTTGACAAGAGCACCGCTTCAATTCTATTCCAAACCAAGGATCAGAATGAGGATCAGTGAAGAAATGATAAAAATGGTTAATTTCTTCATAGATCTATCTACTTCTTGTGTTATTTACCTCTTGGGCTTTTCAAGTCAATTCTTGCTGGATCCTTTCTATAAATGTATAAACTCTCAAATCAAGCTGTAACAAATCATTACTTTGTCATCATAGTCTGGGGCTGGGTTAAGGATACAAGATTTGACAGCTTTTGTTGGGAATTTAGGAGGTGCAAGCTGTTGTGGAAGTTGGATGTTTGTCCCACTTTGTTTAAAATCTGATGCTGAGCTGATATTTTAGTTTAGAAAAAACTTAAAACAGCCTCAAATAAAGAATGTTGTTTTCAGTAAAAAAAATCCCATCACTTGTCTCAAAAAGCCAACCAAAATCGGGTAAACCTGACCCAATCATAATCATTTGTCACAGAGTTTGAAACAGTCTGGTCTTTAGTTTATGGCCTCAGCGGTTATGGAAGGGCTCGGTGGCTTATATTTGGGTTGAGCACCGTCCATAATTTTGGAAAATGTTACAAGCATCGAGTCTCACAATCGCACTCTTGGGGCAGCAGAACAACGATTATGTAACACTTGTTCTAACCCAACAAAGAAGTCAAACGTGAGAAATTTGGACGTTGCAGACAACATCGGCCTATGTAAGGGCCTCGAGTCACGTTTGTGAGAAATGTTTTAGAAAACGTGAGCGAGGAAATACATTTGAAAATGATTTGAAAGAATTGAAGAAAGCAGCATTATATGACTATAAGCAAATAAAGGAACACCACAGCTTAAATAACATATAACTCAAGGTCGAAAGAATTGACAACTAGTCATATCCCCTTATAGTATATTTTGGAATATTTTAGCCCTGATAGGTATAGACATGATTTTGATGAATAGTCATACATCCACTTATTGACACAACATGAAATAGTAAAGACATATCTAAGATGAAAGCATGTAAAAGGGGTTTGGAACGAGCATGTGGTCATGGACAACACGTCCTAGACAAGCATGATCGTGACATCCGACATGCGACCATAGACAACACGACTTGGATAAGCATGACCGTGACACGAGGCACCTCCAGGCCCCAAGTTTTGATGGTAACAACTCATAGTTTTGGACATCGTAATTGGAAGTCAAAGTTGACGGTTGATAGACTGTGGCATTTTAGATGCATATACATTCTCTCCCCTTAAGTATATCTTGTAGGTTCTCGATGCTAGCATCACAGTTTAGCTTGGCTATGTGGTAAATATTATGTTGGCTAATCACGTCTGTAGTCTGTGTGACAATCACAATTAAGCAGATTGCTCGTACTTTTTTTTGGACCATTGCTGTATGCAGTTGATTTGGAAACACCATTGCTGAAGTGGTAGGGACTTGACATTGAAAAGTAAGAAATGAAACATGGAGCTATAATGAACAAACCGCAGTGTAGAAGATGTAAGCTAACAATCGACATTGACTAAATATTAAAAAGTGAAAGACTCGAAAACTAAGTGCAGATTGCAGATATAGCCCATAGTTGGACAATATTCACAATGAGATTCTTCTATGTGTTTATATGTCATGGCATGATATTATAACATTTTTAAAATCGATCTTGAACTCTGCTTGAAATGCTTCTCTTGGGACACCCTTTATGACAGTCCAAGTCCACCGCTAGCAGATATTGTCCTCTTTGGGCATTTCCTTCCGAACTTCCCCTCAAGATTTCAAAACGTGTCTGTTGGGTAAAAGTTTCCACAAACTTATAAAGAATGTTTTGTTCCCTTCTCCAACCGATGTGGAATCTCACAATCCATCCCTTTCAAAGTCCAGTGTCCTTGCTGGCACTCATTCCTCTCTCCAATCGATGTGGACCCTCCAATTCACCTCCCTTCAGAGCCCAACGTCTCCCGGTGTTCACTCCCTTCAGGATTCAGCCTCCTCGCTGGCACATCACCCGATGTTTGGCTCTGATACCATTTGTAACAGCCAAAGCCCACCACTAGTAGATATTGTCCTCTTTGGACTTTCACTTCTAGGCTTCCCCTCAAGGTTTTAAGACGCGTCTGCTAGGGAGAGGTTTTCACACCTATATAAAGAATACTTTGTTTCCCTCTCCAATCGATGTGGGATCTCACACTCTTTAAGAAAGAAAAAAGAAGCACTTTCCTCGGGGTAATTTTCCTCGGGCAAAGACACCATATTTTCGTGGACAAAGCTATGAAATTCTGTTCTTTTTTTTAACCCCTTATTTATTCTTTTCTATCTTGGTGTTAATTCTCCCCATACTTTTGTGATTGCCTCTCATTGGTCTGGCTTTTTGTAACTCACATGGAACTCATTGCCCTTTTGTAAATTCATACCATCTATGAAATGAAGGCTCTATGCTTCTCACATGTCCATGCTTAATTTCATGAGATATGCATACGAGTTTATGTTATGATGTCACAACTGCACCATACAGAAGATATTTATTAGAAGTATATTTTCACGTTCTTTTAGCTTCTCTCTCTCTTTTTTTTTATTTTTTATTTTTTATAATGTGAACATAGTTATTGGTTTTAGACCCCTGCCAATGCTTAAGTAAGCAAGGCACGCAGATATGGGCGACGAAGAGGAGATAAGAGGTCGCCTCTTTCTATAAATTTCAGTTTCACTAGATTATTTGTTACATTGTTCTTTTAATCTATTCTTTGAATTTTTATTTTATTCCCTAGTGTTGTTGTGACACCTCAGCTCTATTCATTTGTTTGTCTGTCTTCCATTTTTTTTACCCTTCCATTTCTATTAGCAATTACATCTGTTATGTTTCATAAACCCAGTGATGAACTGCCATTCACCTTTGAAAGGATGCATGGATTCTCCACAGTTGATGGCTTTGTGGAGATAGCTGAAAGCTCAGCAGAGATGATCAAGTATATAGCAAATGAACCTTCGACTGGGCTTTTCTACATTCAACATCATACAAAAAATGCTGTTCCCAATGTTATCAATCTCAAGAATAGTGTCGTGGACAAGTCTCACGAAACAACTTTGCACGCTGAAGATTCGGAGGATTCAATCACGATGTTGCAGTCGATGAAAGACTGTGGGTTTCCTATTGCAGATGAAATGATCAGAGACATCAAGAAGTCTCTTGCAGTCATGTCAACCAAACAACCAAGAAGAGGTTTGATCCGTAATACTTCTGGTACGCAGCAGCCAGGGAGAATGAGCACTTGGAGATCAGCCACGTGGGGTCGAAGCGCAATCGTTGCCCCACGTGATGATGACAGTGGTGGCTACATTTCAACAGTATTCAAATCAGCAAGAGAAAAGGCAAGCAACTTTAAGTGGCCACAACTTGACATCAAGGAAGATCTTGCACATGTCGAAGTCGACGAGCTACCACCACAACCTAACGAACCACCGGTTGCATCTGCTAGTTCTGTTTCATCACAGCCAGATATAAACACTGAGGAGTTGCCTCTGTCCAGACAAGTTAATGATGAGTTGCAACGGGACGACCAAGTTGATGTCAGTATGAATACTGATTTACTTTCGGTGTCCGATAATTTCGACGACTTCAGGGCTGATAAAGAAGCAAAACTGGAGGAGTGGTTGGGAGGGTCTGGCGGCTTGAATGATGTCAAAGAGATTTGAGGGCTGGGAAAGGCCATCAACATTAATTTTGTGTAGTGTAACTGTAAAAATTATCAGATAAAAATCACTCTACACACGTTCTCTTCCATCATTTTGTCCGGCCCTTAACTTCTAGAGACATCATTCCATAAATTTATTAAATTCCACTAGTGATGAGTTGTATTCCCATAGTTTTGTAACATGAGGCTGTTGAAACAAATATTTATTGTAGTGACGGATTAATATTTATTACTGATAATGTTAGTTTTTCGGTCTTTTAATTAAATATCTTACTT